GGCATTTTTCTGGAAATTAGAAACACAAGATCCAACCCCTGGATTGCACAGTTTGGAAAGCCAAAGCACTAGCTAGAAATTCTCCCTTATATGCCTTGTATCTGTTAGCTACTTGTCACAGCAATACTTGGTAACAAATTACTCCCTAAGCAAGCTCAGTGCCTTAAAATAACAACCACTTATTGCTCATGAATGTATGGGTCACCTGAACACTTCTGATCTGAGCTGGACACAGAAGGCTCATCCCTGATCTGTAATCAATACATTGACTGAGTGGCTGGGAAGGTGGCTCAGTGGTAGAGCGCTTGCCTTGCATGCCTGGGTTCGATTCCTCAGCACTACATAAGCAAAAAAGAAAAAAGCCGGAAGTGGTGCTGTGGCTCAAGTGGTAGAGTGCTAGCCTTGCACTGAAGAGCTGAGGGACAGCGCCCAGACCCAGAGTTCAGGCCCCACGACCGGACCCAAAAAAAAAAACAAAAAATACATTGACTGAGCAGCTTTGCAAACCATGTAAGGAGCTCCTCCACATCTGGAATCCTGGCTGAGAGAGCTTGGGCATTCTGGGTGTGATTACTTGGTCTCCCCCCAATAAGAGTCACTTACCCACAGGAGAGGAAGCAGAGGTCCTTCCATTTCTTCCACCACGTTCATCACCAAGCATCATCCATTGGTGGCTTTGAAAACCACATTGCACAGGCTGTGCATTCAAGGATGTGTGGGAGATTGGGGATAGCGTGTGTGTGTGTGTGTGTGTGTGTGTGTGTGTGTGTGTGTGTGTGTGGTGTGTGTGTGTGTGTGTGGTGTGTGTGTGTGTGTGTGACAGTTCTAGGGCTTGAACTCAGGACCTAACACTCCCATCTGGCTTTTTCACTCAAGGCTGGCACTCTGTCACTTGAGCCACAGCTCTACTTCTAGCTTTTTGGTGGCTCATTAGAGATAAGGGTCTCACAGACTTTCCTGCCTGAATTGGCTTCAAACTGTGATCCTCAGATCTCAGCCTCCTGAAAACTAGAATTACAGACTTGAGCCACTATACCCTTCTTTAGCACGTGTGTGTGTGTGTGTGTGTGTGTGTGTGTGTGTGCACTGAGAGTTTTGAACACAGGGCCCCTGCTTCCTAGGCTAGCACAAAACCACTGAGCCATACCCTCAAACCTATTTTACCCTAGTTATTTTTAGGTTTGAGTCTTGTTTCTGCCCAGGTAGGTTACCTGAGCCAGGCCACTGTGGAGATCATAGATGTGTACCACCACATCCAACCTTCCCCCCATGGTGACAGTCTGGTGCACTTTGCTTCCCCAGGTTTGTTGGTACTGTGATCTCCTCAATCTCAGTCTCATGTAGCCTGGGATGACAAGCATGCACATCTGTACCTATGGGTTGAAAGGGGGTCTTAGGAACTTTAGCCTCAAACTGTAATCCTCCCAGGTGTGATCAGGAGCTGGTGCCAGCTGGTTTAGCTTAAGAACTTTATGAGTATCTTCATCAGCATTTTGATGACACTTTAGCAGATATCAGCTTTCTGGATGATGGTGATAGTGCAAATCTGTGGTCCCAACTATCAAGAGAAGGAAAAAAAAAATCTCAGTTTGAGGATCAAGAACATTAGACCCTAACTCAAAGGAGCCGAGTACTGGTGGCTTATGCCTGTAATCCTAGCTACTCAGAAGGCTGAGATATGAGGCTCACAATTCAAAGCCAGCCCGGGCAGGAAAGGCCATGAAACACTTATCTCCAATAAAACTACCCAAAAACCGGAAGTGGCACTGCAGCTCAAGTGGTAGAGCTCTACCCTTGAGCTGAAGAGCTGAGGGACAGCGCTCAAGCCCAGAGTTCAAGCTCCATGACCGACAACAACAACAAGGGAGTCGTGGATCATTCCTATGATCCTGTAGGATCATCACTATAATCCTATATGAGAGACACTCTGGTGGCTGAGATTTACACTTCAGTTAGAAGCAGATTGAGCAGAGAAGTTTGAGAGATTACATCTCCAAAATAACCAGCAAAAAACATGGTTGGAGAGATGGCTCAAGTGGTAGAGCACCTGCCTAGCAAACAAACATCAAGAATGTGAGGCCCTGAGTTCCCACTGGCAAAAATATATAAAGCTAAAAGCTAATATTTTACAGAGAAACTATTCTATTGGGTGAGACTTTTCCCCCTTGCATATGCATCTATAATCTTTTACAAATGTATCCTTAACCACATCCCCTATCCCAGAGCTATTTCTCCATCTGTGTCAAGTAACTGCCTCTTCTGTGACCATCAATCACTAGCCATTGGCTCTTTCTGACTCTCCTTTCTGTCCTTGAAATACCTTGGTGGCTGTTGGCCTCTCCTTCTGCTTCAGAGCCAATGTCTTCAGATATTATTTGCACCTGCTACCTCTATGGTGCTCCACTTACCAGTGGGCACACTGAAGTCTGCTTTCTCTTCCTCGAACCTATGAGAACCCCAGGATTGGAAGCCAGAGGGAAAGCTTAGTCTCCTATCTTCTTTGACCTTTTAAGTTGGGACACTATTTACCTTCCCTTAGTAAATTCTCACACACCCCGAGTTCAGCCACTCACGGTGTATCTGCTGATAACTCCACCATCTCATTGGCCCTGCTGCTTCCAGCCACTACATACAACAGGTGCTCTATAACTGACCACTAGATCAAACAAAAAAATTGCATCAAGATAGAATGCTACCAAGTTACTCAAGAATATGAACTTCTCCAGGCCAGGTATGGCAGAGCATGCCTGTAATCCGGCTATGTTGGAGGTGGAGGTGGTAGGTTTGTGTTTTGAGACTGGCTTGGGGCTATAAAATAAAGCAAAAAGGTCTAGACACCGGGCACCAGTGGCTCACACCTGTAATCCTATCTACTCAGGAGGCTGAGCTCTGAGGATTATGGTTCAAAGCCAGCCCAGGCAGGAAAAGTCCATGAAACTCTTATCTTCAATAAACCACTAGAAAACCGGAAGTAGCGCTGTGGCTTAAGTGGTAGAGCACTCACCTTGAGCTGAAGAGCGCAGGGATAGCACCCAAGCCCAGAGTTCAAGCCCCACGACCAACCAAAAAAAAAAAAAGGGCTAGACTTGTGCCTTAAGTGGTAGAACCAGTGCTGATGCTTGTGTGGCTAATCAGGAAGCTGGGATCTGAGGATTGGGCTTTAAAGCCAGCCCAGAAAAGTCTGCCAGACTCTAGCTCCAATTAATAAGCAAAAAGCTGAGCTGGTTGGTGTGGCTCAAGTGGCAGAGCACCAGCTGTGAGTACACAAGGTGAGTGAGAATTTTCGGCTCCCTAAGTTCAAGCCCTGGCATTAGCATAAAGAAAGGAACCAAAGCAACAACAAAAAAGAACAGTAGAAATGCTTTGGAATCCTGCAGCTCTTGTAATGGAAGAAATATGATCAAGGTTTTCTCAAATAAGACAAAAAATCCTAAAACTAGCCATGACTTAACATTATAATTGAGAAGATGAAAGAAATGTTTCCAAATTATCAAAATCACCTACACTACATAAAATAGTTTTTTCTATTCTTTCTGTAGAAAATGTGTTAAAACAAAACAACAACAACAAAACCCAATGTTGCCAGGCTACTCAGAAAGCTGAGATCTAAGAATTGCAGTTTGAAGCCAATCTGGTCAGAGAAGACCCTGTGAGACTCTTACCTCCAATTAACCACTCAAAAACCGGAAATGGCACTGTGGCTCAAGTGATAGAGTGCTAGCCTTGAGCACAAAGACACTCAGGGAGTGCCCAGGCCCTGAGTTCAAGCCCCACAACTGACAAAAACCAACCAACAAACCAAAAACCAATGTCATATGAAGCGGTAAAGAATGTCTAGTGACAGAAATACAGGAGGAAGCATTGTAGAAGTGTATATGATCGGGGCTGGGAAGGTGGCTCAGTGGTAGAGCACTTGCCTTGCATGCATGAGGCCCTGGGTTCGATTCCTCAGCACCACATAAGCAAAAAGAAAAAAGCCAGAAGTGGCGCTGTGGCTCAAGTGGTAGAGCACTAGCCTTGAGCTGAAGAGCTAAGGGACAGCGCCTAGGCCCAGAGTTCAGGCCCCATGCCCGGACCAAAAAAAAAAAAAAAGAAGTGTATATGATCATTAATTAGTCAAATTTCATGTCATTTCCTGGCTTTTGTGCTTTTTATAGTAGGAAGCCCTTGTTTCCTGGACCCTATTGGGCCCACACTCTAAATCTACTGTCTTGAGTGTGTGTGTGTGTGTGTGTACGTACACTTGAACTCAGGGCCTACGTGCTGTCCTTTAGCTTTTTCACTCAGGGCCCACTACTTGAGCAACAGCTCTATTTCTGGCTTTTCAGTGATTCACTGGAGATAAAGAGTCTCATAGACTTTCCTACCTGGGCTGGCTTTGAACTGAGATCCTCAGATCTCAACCTCCTGAGTAGCTAGAATTACAAGGTGAGCCATGGGTGCCTGGCACCTTCTTGTGATCTATTTCCTCAACTTATAGAAAGAAATGTTCAATGTCCTCTCTAATTTTACACTACCATTCCCCACCCCCCATTTTCTTCGCCAGTGCTAGGGGTCAAGTACTCTACCACTGAGCTACACTCTCTTCCAGCTTTCTCTTGCAAGACAGTCCCCAGAACGGTTAAAAAAAAAAAAATAGGAATCCCAACTTCAACTGCATCCTTCTGCATCGACCTCCAATGTCGACCTTGAGTGACGTGAACACGAATTATTTTTGCATACAAGAATGTAGAGTCTATGGCCAGTGGGAAGGGGATGGGAAGAGAACTATCACCAGCGAATGTCATCTCAAAAGTAAAAGCGAATCGCTGGCACAGAGAAGAAGCCAAAATCCTTGGCAGATGGAAGTTAGGGAGGATTGGATGACCTCAGCGGGAAGCCAAGGCGGGCTGATGGAGAAGAGCCAAATCTCCAGCGCTTTCCCCTTAAAGGGGCGGGGCACGGGAGGCGGGGCCTGGAAGTAGCCCGCTCTCCCAGAATGCCCCGCGAGCGCGCGCGCGCGACGGCAGTTCGGCCACGTCCCCGGCCACGTCGCGCCGCCCTCGCCATCTTCTCCGCTTCCTCTCAGGGGCCGCCGCCTCCTTAGTCGCCGAGCTCCGTGGCCGCCGCGCCAACTGTCGCCGCTGCCGCCATGAACATCTTCCGGCTGACCGGGGACTTGTCCCACCTGGCGGCCATCGTCATCTTGCTGCTGAAGATCTGGAAGACGCGCTCCTGCGCCGGTGAGCGGCCGGGCCAGGCCCTGAGAAACCGGGGCGCGGGGCCGGGTTCCGAGGACCCGTCGGCCTCGGTCGCTCCGGGACCCCCCCCCCCCCACCCCTCTCTGGGATCGTGGTGGCCCGACACCCCGCGCCTCTCCTGCCGACCTGACGGATACCGAGGCTGGGGAGCACCCTGCCGCCCCTCGGGGTGCGCAGGGCCGGGCCCTCCGTCCCGGCGAACTTGAGTCGTCCGGGCGTGGGGGCGCTGACCGGACTGCGCGGTGTGGGGGAGGAGGGTGCTGTGGTGTCTGAAAAGTTTGGGAGGAGAGCGGGGGTCCGGTGGGCGTGTCCCGCGCCTCGGACTTGTCTTGGGGCGCTTCTCAGGCCGAGGTCCCGTGCTGAAGGTGTGTGGCAGGGCCGGAGGGTGGGGTGGAGTGGGGGGGGGGAGGTGTCCTCGAATCAGTGGGCTTGGCGGGAGAAATTGGGGCCGGACCGTGGCCTGACGTGGCAGCCGGACCACTCCAGGGGGGCGGCGGCGGCGACCAGGGGAAGAGGTCATCCTGATGTCCACCCTGTCCCCTAAGGGATTGGGCTGTGGGTTAAGTTCCAGGCTATGGAGTGTGGTACCGAGCCTGTGCTGGGAGTTGTGTTGGCTGCGTCCCAGTCCTCGGGGCCCCGGATCGATGGCAGGCGCCGCAGGCAGGGCTGGGGGCGTGTGTGTGTGTGTGTGTGTGTGTGTGTGTGGTGTGTGTGTGTGTGTGTGTGGTGTGTGTTAGTTCGGAGAAGCGAACTGGTTTTGTTTCGCTGTAATAACGGGTTCTCGAAAAACTGCAGCGCTGGGTACTGCCGAGATCCCTTGTGCTTCCATGCAGTTCCTAGCTCCACGTCACCAGTGAGTTGGCCCAGCCCCTCCCCCGAAGTCTGAACACTCTTGTAAGTCTTGCTGGGAGGAGGCCGGGAAACAATCTTTCCCAGATAATAATAGCATCCGAGTTTTACGTTTCCTTAACCCAAAAGCTTAAGAAATACACATTTAAAAACCTTTTTTAAAAGAATTTTTCTTGTGTTGGTACTGGGGCTTGAATTCAGCCTAAATGCTGTCTCTTAGCTTTTTCTGCTCAAAGCTGATGCTCTAACCACTTAGGCCATAGCTCCACTTCCAGCTTTTTGGTAATTAGTTGGTTATAAGAGTCTCATGGACTTTCCTGCCAAGGCTGGCTTCCAACAGTGATCCTCTGTCTCAGACTCCTAGGTTTAAAGTCATTAGCCACTGGCACCCAGTTAAAATTGTTTATTAAAATGACAGGACTGGGCTGGGAAGGTGGCTCAGTGGTAGAGCGCTTGCCTTGCATGCATAAGGCCCTGGGTTTGATTCCTCAGCACATAAGCAAAAAGAAAAAAAGCCGGAAGTGTTGCTATGGCTCAGGTGGTAGAGCGCTAGCCTTGAGCTTCAGCTGAGGGACAGCGCCCAGGCCCAGAGTTCAGGCCCCATGACCAGACCCAAAAAACAAACAAACAAAATAAAATAAAATGACAGGACTTCCTTAATCTTAGTTCTAATTGTATGCCTCGCCCATGGAAGGGGAGATAGCTTTTGAAGAATTCAAGAACTTAATTTTTTGAGAGGTAGAGAAAGATAGAAGTGCTGAAGAACCTGTGGGACAGAGATTCCATTCATCTGGTTAATTTATAAAAATCTCCACATCTAAAATAACACCATGTCTTTGATTTTGCTGTCTATGGCACTTGCCTGTTTCTCTAGAACATAGCCGAGATTCAGGAAGTAAGCAAAACCAAAAAAGACCTTTGAGCAATCAAAATAAATGTTACAAAGTCCATTTACTGAACTAGTGTGTCTGACTTGGAGGTAATGTCTCAGTTTTTATGTAGTTCCATGGGGTTCCATTGCAGTGACTGTAAATTAATAAATTTCAGTCATTATGATAGTTAACAAATACACTGCTATATACTAAGTAGTCAGCTAAGTGCTTTATATGGCTGATCCTAGGCAGTGCTTAAAATAACCTTGTGGGGTAGATGCTGTTATCTCTGTTCTGAGAGCAGAGGAAGCTTAGGGAGATGAGCAAAGTAGTGTTTGAGCCAGAGTTGAAACACAGTAAGTTACAGTTAATGATTTTGAATAAATTCATTTGCTTTGGCCTAAGCAGTTTTGGTGTAAATGTTTGATTAACAAGACACCAATAGTTTAAATGTAATAGTTTAGGTTCTTTAGTTTTGTGTTGCTTCAGAATCTTTGAATCTATTCATCTTGCTTCTGTTTCTTATAATCGCCTTTTCTGGAAGGTGGTTTTAAAGGTGAGGTAGTATGCTGTCTTCCAAACTGAGATGTTTGGGAGAATTGAGTGCAGCCTCAGAAATAGAATTCTTAAGAGGACCTTAAGTAACAACGAGAAAGGGGAAGTGTCTTTTTCCCCCTTCTCTTCTCATTTGGGAGATTTAGAGTATGAAAGAAAATGTTATTATTTCAGCTGAAATGATGAGAAAGGTAAGTAGATGGGCTCAGTCTGTGGTTGTTCCCCAAGTATTCCGTAGGCATTATTAAACTATTCTCATTGTCACACACAGGATGCTTTTCCTTATGGCATGTGAGTTTTCACAGCCTTTAAAAAATTAAGACCAAGGTCATTCAGAATTATGTCCTAAATTTGACTAGCTACATTGTTTTTCCATACTAAATTATAAAAGTTGTTTAGAGACTTTTGAAAGAGTAAGAACTTGATAAGAGTTTCTCAGATAACTGGAATAGGAGACATGTATAACCAGGTTGTATTTCTCTCTTGAAAATACCAGAATGAGGTAAGCCAGGCACTGGTGGCTCACACCTGTAATCCTAGCTACTCAGGAGGCTGAGATCCAAGGATCATGGTTCAAAGCCAGCTAGGGCAGGAATGTCTGTGAGACTCTTATCTCCAAGTAACCACCAGAAAACTGGAAGTGGCGCTGTGGCTCAAATGGTAGAGTGCTAGCCTTGAGCTGAAGAGCTGAGGGACAGTGCTCAGGCCCAGAGTTCAAGCCCCACGACCAACAAAATAAACAAAAAACCAGAAGTAGTGCTATGGCTCAAGTGGTAGGTCACTAGCTTTAAATACAAAAAGGCTCAGGGACAGTACCCAGGCCCTGAGTTCAATTAGCCTGGGGGTGGGGGTGGGGGGATAAATACTGGTATGAGTGGTATGAGGTTCATTTTAGGATTTCCACAGTTCTCTCTTTAACATGGCTGGAGCTGCAAAACCACATACATTTCTTTCCTAGGGGTGAGAGATGAGGCAGGGTGGTAAGGAAACTAGAGATTCAGTTATCTGGTAGTCTAATCCCAGAGTCCCTACATTAAGGACCCTTTTTAAAATGGGGGCAAGGAGTTAACCTTGTCTGAATCTGCATTCTTTTATTGTTGCATCTGCCATTGTTATGACAGAGGGCTACCAAAGTTCATATTTCTAAACTACTAGGGCAGTTTGATGTTCAAGTGGTCACTTTTTGTTCTAGACCCTGGCCTGGAAAATCTAGGGAGAACAAGCAGTGGTTTTTAGATGAAGGGCTTCAATTTATGTTTTCCTGTAGTCTAGTAAGTTCTAATAGTGTTGTATCTTCTGTGCTTAAATAACTAGGGAAGTCCTCCTGACAGTCAGCTACCTAGCCTTCCTTATCTGGTCACTTTTCCTCCCCTCCTAGCTGCTGTTATGTAGGCTGTCAGCTTTCCAAAACACCAAATATGACCTGAGAAACTGTGTCCTTGTGTATCACCTAACTGGATTGTTGACAGTTTTTGTTTTGGGGTTTGTTTTTTTTTTTTTGGGTGCAGTCATGGGGCCTGAATTCTGGGCCTGGGCACTGTCCCTCCGCTCTTCAGCTCAAGGCTAGCACTCTACCACTTGAGCCACAGCGCCACTTCCGGCTTTTTTCTTTTTGCTTATGTGGTGCTGAGGAATCGAACCCAGGCCTCATGCTTGCAAGGCAAGCGCTCTACCACTGAGCCACCTTCCCAGCCCCGGGTTTTTTTTTTTTTTTTTTTTTTTTGGTCTGGTCGTGGGGCCTGAGCTCTGGGCCTAGGCGCTGTCCCTCAGCTCAAGGCTAGCGCTCTACCACTTGAGCCACAGCGCCACTTCCGGCTTTTTTCTTTTTGCTTATGTGGTGCTGAGGAATCAAACCCAGGGCCTCAGGCATGCAAGGCAAGTGCTCTACCACTGAGTCACCTTCCCAGCCCCCCCCCCCCCCCCCCCCCGGGTTTTGTTGTTGTTGTTGTTTTTGTTTTGCCGGTTAAGGGGCCTGAACTCTGAGCCTGGCTGCTGTCCCTGATCTCTTCAGCTCAAGGCTAGCACTCTACCTACCACGTAAGCCACAGTGTCACTTCCGGTTTTTTTTTTCTGCTTATATGGTGCTGAGGAATCGAACCTAGGGCTTCATGCAAGCAAGCCAGCCATTCTACCACTGAGCCACCTTCCCAGCCATTGTTCACAGTTTTTTTTTTTTAATTAATTTATTTTTTATTGTGAAAATACCGTACAGAGGGGTTACAATTACATGGGGTAGATAATCGTTCACAGTTTTGAAGTAAATTAAAATTGTCCCATCTATTAGAGTTGACTCAAGATTTGTATCACACACATTCCCAGATTCTTCTTGTAGCTGTTGAATACAAGTCTCCCTCTCTTTTTTTTGGGGGGGGGGTGGTCGTGGGGCCTGGGCACTGTCCCTCAGCTCTTCAGCTCAAGGCTAGCGTTCTACCACTTGAGCCATAGCACCACTTCTGGCTTTTTCTGCTTATGTCGTGCTCAGGAATCAAACCCAGGGGCTGAGACTTGAACTCAGGGCCTGGGCACTGTCCCTGAGCTTCTTTTGCTTTTAAAGCTAGTACTCTAGCACTTGAGCCACAACATCACTTCTGGTTTTTTCTGTTTATGTGGTACTGAGAAATTGAACCCAGGGCTTCATGCATGCTAGGCAACACTCAACCAATAAGCCACATTCCCAACCCCTGAGCTCAGGTCTCTTGAGTAATA